GCGGTGTTTCGCGCGTGCACCGAGCCGTACCCTAACCTCGTCCGCGGGTCGCCGACTAGGGATGGGCGATACAGTATCGATATTTCAAATATCGATACTTCAGTGCCCAATTATCCCCTATTTGTATCGATACTTTATCGCTCGATATTTCCACGTATCGATACTTGACCCTTGAATATCGAACTTTGGTAGACCTATGTCGACCGTCCGTGGCGGTTGGCGGTGGCGCCCGTGGGCCGGCCCTTGACTATCCTTTGTTTTTTTATGGCCGTTGCCGTTACGTTATCTCAGTGTCTAGAGTGTCCAATGAAGTGAAGAACAGAAGTCTGTAGAGCTAGTTCAAGGTTCAAGTACTTCAAGTACGTAGGTACGTAGTGTACGTACTGTAACAGTAACTCTCTTACAAGAGACTGCAGTTACAATCAAGGTAAGGATAAAAAATAATTATTATGGGAGCTTTCCAGCAAACGACACAAATCGACACAAGCATCGTTTTATCTTTCTTTTTTGGTAATAAGTAACAAAGATAAAACGATACTTGTGTCGACTTGTGTCGTTTGCTGTAAAGCTAGGTATATATTTCTTTTATCTAGTTCACTTTCCAGCAAGCGACACAAGTCATTGAAGTTGTCACAAATGTCGTTCTATCTTTTTTTACTTAGCATTCAATAAATAACAAAGATAGAACGACATTTGAGTTGTATCACTTGCTGGAGAACGCACTCAGATTTTATTATTTATTAAAAGGCTTTTTTATGCTGACACTCGACGCTTGATTTGAGCGTTAAAACTGATCACGTGACCTATCACGTGATCAATTTTGACGCTCAAATCGAGCGTCAGTCAGCATGAAAAAGCACCTTTACTGATCCGTTTTATAGAGTTGAATGGATAATTTTCTTATTTGTATTAGTCTAGACTAGACTTAGAGTGTCCGTATCCAGTAAAGTGAAGAGCAGAATTCTGTACAGCTAGTTCAAGGTTCAAGTACGTAGGTACGTACTGTAACAGTAACTCTCTTACAAGAGACTGCAGTTACAATCGAGGTAAGGATAAAAAATAATTATTATATATTTCTTTTATCTAGTTCACTTTTTAGCAAGCGACACAAGTCATTGAAGTCATTACAAACGTCGTTCTATCTTTTTTTACTTAGCATTCAATAAATAACAAAGATAGAACGACATTTGAGTCGACTTATATCACTTGCTGGAAAACGCACTCAGATTTCTTATGATCTGTTTTATAGAGTTGAATGTATAATTTTCTTATTTGTAATATTTACAGAGTTAAATCTAAGAAAAGTCCTAAGGTGAAAGAGCACATTCCACGTTCCCATTTCCTAACTTCTAACTTCTAACGGCGCACTAACGCACTTACTTTCTATAAAAGTACTAAAAGTAGGCGTGCAAGTTTTCCTTTATTTTATTCTATTTCCTTATTTCTTTCATTTTTTTATTAATTATTAAATAATAATCATCCTATTTCTTTTTCTTTATAGTGCCGCCAAAAAAATCCTATTTGGAATTATTTTGTAAAAAGTGATACAGTTGCTAAATGCAAAATCTGCCAGTTAAATGTAAAAACATCTGGAAATACAACTAATTTACATTTCCATATGAATCGATGTCATCCTGATGTTCAGATGGAGAAATCTACAGTATTCGTCAAGACAAAAAGACAAATAGTAATATTTGTTATTTATATTATTACATAACACAATATTTATATTTTTTTTTATTTTTATTCGCCCTTAATTGATGTATGCTTTGAATTTTAGTCCGAAGTAGACAACGAAGATATCATTGACCTTGATGACCCAGTCTCATCTCCGGGACCGTCTACGTCTATATCATCAGAAACAGAAACGCGATCGGTATCAGTTTTACGAAATCCAATTGTTTCCTCCAAACAACCTCGAATTGACTCAGCATTTGCAAAACAAAAATCATATCAAGGTATGGAGAAGTTGTAATTATTTAATTGAGTTTTAAATAACTTATTCATTACTAATGTAAGTATATTTAAAAAATTGTTATGATATTTTTAATTTTTTAGATGGAGGATCCAAAGCTGCCGACGTGACAAACAAATTGCTGTTTATGATTGCTAAGGACAACTTACCATTTCGTGTGGTTGAAAAGGAGGGTTTCAAAACCTTCATGAATGCAATATTGCCATTATACACGGTTCCTAGTAGGAGGACCATAACTCATCTCGTGGAAGAGAAATACGAGGTCTTATCAAATATGATGAAAGCAAAACTTTCACAAGTAAATTATTTATCTTTAACTACTGATATTTGGACTGAATCATTAAATATGAAAAGTTTTCTGGGCTTAACGGCACACTTCTTAGTAGAAGAGCAACATAGATCTGTCACAATTGGCGTTGTTGAGATGACTGAAAGACACCAGTCCGAGTATTTGAAAAATTGGCTATTAAATTTAATAGATACATGGAATATACAAAGTCAAAATATTGTAGCCGTTGTGTCAGATAATGCTGCTAACATAAAAAAGGCTATTGTTGATGCCTTCGGTGCAGACAAGCATTTGCCATGCTTTGCGCATACCTTGAACTTAGTTTTGGCGAGAATTATTGATGACGATAATATCGTAAAAGGTTTCTGCGCAAAAATAAAAAATATTGTCACCTATTTTAAAAAATCAGTTATTGCTGCAGATCAATTACGTATTCATTCGAACTTAAAGTTAATCCAAAGTGTTGAAACACGGTGGAATTCCACGTATAATATGCTACAAAGATTTATACAATTGTCCGAAAAAATTAGTGTCATTATTTTGCAATGTCCTACGGCTCCTCCGATGCTAACTGCTTCGGAGTTACAATCGACTAAAGAATTTGTTGAGTTGCTAAAACCATTTGAAGAGGCAACAAAAATCATATGCGGCGAGTATTATCTTACTGCGAGTAAAGTAATTCCAGTTGTCAATATTTTAAAGAATACATTACAGGCGTTTGAACCTTCTACTGATATAGGTCATCACTTTAAAAAGGCGTTAAAAGATCAGTTAAGCAAAAGATTTGAAACTATTGAACACGTATCATCGTTAGCTATGGCTACAATTTTAGATCCTCGATTTAAAAATATTAATTTTAGCGATAAAGTTGCTTGCTCACATGCTATTAATAAAATTACAAGGTTTGTAAATTCTAAGGTTACAGATATTAACCATGAATTTCAAAGTCAACAAGAAAATTCAGATAATAATGATAAAACAAATTTTTGGTCCTATCATGAAAATCTTGTAAATTTAAATATATTTAAACAGATAGTTAATCAAGATCCTAACCAAATGCCAGAGGACTTTCGTTACTATCTGAATCAACCACCGTTAAAAATGAGTGATAATGCCATAAAATATTGGAATATGGCCCGAGATTCGCCTCTAAGAACCTTAGCAATTAAATATTTATCACTAATTGCCACTTCAGTTCCTTCCGAAAGGTTATTTTCTGAAGCAGGTAAAATAATGTCCGAAGATAGGAACAGGTTGACAGGTGATCACCTTAATCAATTATTATTTTTACATTCCCTCGATCTTGGCGATTGGCATTTATAAATTATCAATTCTGCAATACATCACAAACGCTCCTGCCATCCTTCGCGACTGGTGACGAGGCGTTTGTGACGTATTATAGAAGTGAATTTTTACACTCACGTGCAAAAATAAGTAATTATTTTTCTGTTTGCAGTAATTACACACTTCAGTGGACTTATTTTTTATACATTCTATATATTAAGTTTCTACTAATGTTTCTTTTCTAATTTTCTTACAATTTGCTTACAATTAAGAATAAAATGTCTCGTAAGTGTATACATACAGATGAGGTAAATTTGCGTTAATTTAATGATCAAAGTATTGCATTTGCTATTATAGTTTATAAGTTCCATTTTCATTTCTTTCTAAGCAGATTTCATATGTGATATTACTGTTATTACACTCACATGCAAAAATAAGTAATTATTTTTTTGTTTAATGTATGTAATCATAATTACAATAATTATAAGTGCTAATGTGATATAATTATAAGTACACATTTTAATATATAAACAATATAAACAAAAACATTTATTTTATAAATAAAAAATTGTACTTAAGGTGTTCTTGTGTACTCGCGTTGTAACTTTTATGCCGCAAAATACCTCTCATTTTATACTTTATTTTACGTCAGAAGTAAGAAATTGGATGCCAAAAATTTTTGCAAACGGCGAACTAATCTAATATCTAATTATGTATGTTTCGATATTGATGATATCGATACGAGACATTCGATATTTTTTGTGTATCGATACTTTCATTTATGATACATATCGATACGATGTATCGATACTTTCAGGCTGTATCGCCCATCCCTATCGCCGACGAGTCGGACGCTTGGCCCTCACGTTGACAAACGTGAGT